AAAAATACGTGAAACGAGGCGTGAGAAATACGTGAAACGAGACCTGAAAATTACGTGAAACGAGGCGTGGTTTAAATTCGAGGCGAAATTATGCGAGAAATAAATGATAACGAGATTACGTGCTTAATTATTACGTGCAATACAAGATTTACGTGCAATACGAGCTTTATTTACGTGCAAAACGAGATTTATTTACGTGCAATGCGAGATTTACCGCAAAAAAATGGATTAAATCAACAAATAAATTATTATTAATCACACCGAGACTATACAAACTTTCAATTATGATTGGAATCATGGATAAAATACGAAAATATAAAGGAACGAGCTCACCATTGACGGCTTCTTCAGTATTCCACAGGTTGCAACAATCAATAAATTCACATCCGACCGAAGTGACCAAAATCAAAATGATCCTCTGTTGAGGACTTTCGAAGGACCACCCTTTATTATAGGTCAAAGGGAACCCAAACACATTAACGAGAATTAATACTTTAATTGATTAACCATTTATTGCGGTACAAAACGAATTTTTAATTGATTATTAGTCAAACAATAACAACGTGACATGCTCTCGAATCCCTCTCTTCTTATTGGTCGCGCCGAGCGATCCCATTGGTCGCGCTGAGCGATCCTATTGGTCGCTTGCCGTTCTTCCTGCAGCTGTTCTTGCGCGTTGCCAGATCCTTTTGAGTTGCTAGGTTTATTACGGCGTTGCCATGTTTAAGAATGTTGCTACACTTTTGTTCAATATAACAGTCTGATATAAGAAATTTGATTTGAATGTTCAAATAGATTTGAATGTCCAAACACACACTGTATAAAATACTAATAGCGGCATTATTGTGTTTTGCAGCTACTAAAACTCTCAAGAGGAAAAAAGAACATGACAGTAGCAGCGGGAGCGATGATAACAATGATCAAATTTCATCGCCAAGCCCATCTAAAACTGAATCTGAATCTGAGCAACCGCTAAATTATTTGAGATCTAAGAAAGTCACTGCTCCTAATTTAGAAACTTTACCGTCAACATCTGGCTCTGTAGTCAATCCCGAAATTGAAGAGAATGATGGTTGCCACGAAAATGACTTGGGTCGTTATGTAGGACAAACATTTCACCTGACGATGGAAAGAAAAAAAGAGTTGTTAAAAAATCCGTGGGTTCCACCCAAGAACTACGATTTTGCAGCCGATGCCAGTCATTTGCGAAGAAAATTTAATTATGCTTGGTTAGATCAATACACACCATGGTTAGTGTATTCCAAGCGACTAAAGGGTGCTCTGTGTAAGCACTGTGTTTTATTTCCTCCTTCTACTGGCACAGTAAGGGGAGTGTTAGGTTCATTTATGATCAGACCATTTACGAAGTTTAGGAATATGCACGAAGATTGTCGTAAACATGCCAACAATAACTTTCACAAATCTGCATCTGCTGCTGCAAAGGCCTTTCTCGAAAATATACCTGTGGACATTCAAGTTCAAAGTTTCCACCAAAAAACAATCGAAGAGAACAAGCAAATATTGGCCTCTATTATTTTCTGTGTAGTATTCTGTGGCACACACGATATGCCTCTACGAGGAAAAGAAGCAGATGAGGGAGTTTTTTTCGATCTAATGAATTTGCGAGTTGAGTCGGGCGACATCAAATTAAAGAATCACCTGGAAAAGTGTCGTAGAAATGCTGTTTATACGTCACCAAAAATACAAAACCAACTCATATATTTATGTGGCGAAGTTATTAGGGAGAGTGTGATAAATGATGCAAAGAAAGCCATGTTCTACACAGTTTTAGCCGACGAGACAGCCGACGTTTCAGGAAAGGAGCAGCTATCCATTGGCTTGCGTTTCTATGATGAAAGTAAAAAAAAAGTCCGAGAAGAATTTGTGGGTTTTGTGGAGCTGACAGCACAGGATGCCCCAGCAATTGCCATGTGTAGGACTTGGTTTTAATGGCTGCGCTACGATGGCGGGCAAAGAGGGTGGCGTACAAGCGATTTTAAGGAAAAAGTACACACGAGCATTATTTTTTCATTGCTCAAACCATAAAATAAATCTTGTTGTCAATGATGCAAATAATGTTCCGTAAATTAGAAACACTTTTGGCACCGTAAAGGATGTTATAACCTTTTTCAGGGAATCCACCACTCGCAGAAGTTCCGCTCCTAATCTATTACGACTGTGTGAGACTAGATGGTCTGAAAAATACAAAATTATTCGCTTATTTGCACAAAATTTCCTCGAAATTGTGAAATCACTTGAAAAACTATCTATCGAAGGAAACTACGCCACGAGAAAATCTGCGTACCAGTTGCATGCCGCCGTTACCAAACCCTCACTAATTGTTGCCCTAACTATAATTGCAAAATATTCAGTTTTACTGGAGCCGGTTGTTAATGCCTTGCAAGCAAAAACTATGGATTTAATTAAGTTGCAAGAACATCTGAACGTAATCCTTAACGTTCTGAAGAAAAACCGTGAAGATGCCTAGTTATTGATGAAGTACTTAAAAAAGCACAAGACTTTGCATTGGAATTGGAAATAGAAATTTCTATCCCTCGAATTACCAAGAGGCAAATACATAGAAACAATCCTCCATCAGACTGTGATAGTGACTACTGGAAGCGTTCGTTAATTATGCCGTATCTGGATTCAATTATAGCCTCTTTAGATATACGCTTTTCTCAAGAACATACTCTAGCGTTTGCCTTAACAAAAATACATCCATTATATATGCTCGACATGGAAACCAATCAAGTAGAACAAAATGCACAATATTTTACCCAGTTTTATAAATTGGACGATATTACTGCGGAAATGGACCTATGGTATAATTTGTGGAAGGAAAAAAAGTCAACTGAGGACCAGCTAAAAGACGTCGAAATAACTGACCTTCTCGACGAGACCGATGTTTTTTATCCCATCCTAAGACAGGCACTTTTGATTTTAATCACAATTCCATGCACCACGGCCACTGTAGAACGATCCTTCAGTACTCTTCGAAGAGTGAAGACTTGGTTGAGAAGTACCATGGGAGAGGAAAGGTTAACAGGATTATGTCTCATGAGTGTGCATCGTGATTTAATTAAATCAAATCGAGAGCAATTTGAAAATCAAGTTTTAAATAAATTTGCGACAAATCCAAGAAAATTGTTATTGAAGATTATTGGAAAATTAAGCGAGTTATGTCAAAATTTAGTAATTAAAAAGAGAAATGCAAAATCCATTGTTTTTTTTTTTTTTTGGTCAGCCCCCCCCCCTATTTCAGATCCTGGGTACGCCCTTGGTTAACTATATTTCTGTTAATACTAGAATTAACTTTATAAATGCCTATCATGTACTATGTAATCGGTTTTCCGTTAAATTTAAATAAATAGATCTCATCAATCTGATGTCACTTGAATTGTTCTCTTTCCTCTGTCAGCAGTTTCTTGTAGTGTTCAGTCCATCTTCAATAGATATGAACATTCGCTGCGTCCTTTCTACCTTTCCTCGCGTTTTTTATAGCTTTCCATGCTGTTGCTACCCTTGAACCTGCCATATATCTTTCGAGGTCTACGCAAGCTTCTCCCATGTTTCGTTTTTCTGCCTTATTGCCACCTTGCCAGAGAAAAAGTTTAACAGTAACAGTTTTATGTGGAACAGAATATTAATATGGGTCATTCTGATGAATGAACAGGTTTTCCTGGTAACTTACTTTCTCTTTGTATAATTTTCATCTTAGAATTTGGGTAATATTATGACTAATTCATAATGGCACTGAATGACCTATGAAAGCCCTAATCCTAATGAGATCCAAATGAGGATGCTAAATGTGTCATAATGACACTGTCATAGACAGGAGGTCATAGATCATAGATTGAGTTATAAATTTCTTTTTTATTGATTCAAAAACCGGCAAAATAAAAATTATATAGGTAACATATTGAGGATCCATATAGTAAAGACATGATACTCAAATTATTATTTAATCTAAATCGCATTTGAAAACTCAACAAACCCCAAACAGAGGCCCCTAATTTACCAAACAATAATACAATAATAGAAATCCACTTAGAGCCATCCCAACAATATGCAGATTTCTGTTTCCGATAAGACAGGCACTGTCAAGATTCAACCCTCAGATAAAGAAAGGAGCAGCTTTTAAATGTATGTATAACATTCTAGGGGACGTTTTACAAATGTTTCCAAAACAAGTAATTGTGGCTAGGTACCTTTAAAAAGGGCCACTTGAAAAGTTTATTTTTTGATTGAGCGATTTGATAATGATGTGAATTTTTTGGTTGATACTTTAATAATTGAAATATACAGCTCGTATATGCTTTATGCTTTATTGAACAAGCTGCATATCATTCTATATGGCTTACAGTTGCAAACTTCTTTCTCAAGGGGTAACTTATTCTTCTACAAATTCTTATACACTGAAAATAGCCTTTAGAGTTTCACAGCTTCAATATTTGTATAAAAATTGTGGCCTGTTTGAACACCCTGTAAGCTAAAAAAAAAACGAATTTATGGTGTTTAGGTTTAATAAGGAAATTGAATTAATTTTTTTTTATAAATAAAACAATACAAGGTTGTAACGAACCAGGACCGTGACAAATTTTAACATTCAAACAATTCTTCAACTGTGAAAGTTAGTCCCAAAAATTCTTTGCTCCAAACAGTTATCGGTTCTTCCTTTTCAAAATTCGAAAAAATGTGTGATATTCTCCAAAACATTAAGATGCTGCAAATCGGTTACGGGACATGGAATGTAAGTAATTATTTAAAAAAAAATAATTATTTGAAAGGGAAAAATTAAAATGCACTTTTATTATACTGCAACAAGGAAACGCGTATAATTATAATTATCTGAAAGTCAACTCATTAATACAATGCCATGGTCATACAATGTTGTCTTAACACTATAAAGCTTAAATTGAATGCAGTTTTTGTACGTTTAAAATAAAATAAAATAAAAACATGTGGCAACGCTTTAGTATTTATTCCTGCAATCTGGTACGACCGGATCCTGAGGTACCGCTATTTTTACATATCCTACAATAATAATCTTCGTATTGACCCGCGGTACTCAGTACATCGATGTTGTTTTTATGTTTTGTTTTCGTAAAATAATATATAAAGATTTGTTTGCAAAAATCGGAATTAAAGTTAATAATATGAGTACTTTAGTACCCAGTCTTAATTTGATTAGCGGTCATGGTGCTCTGCCTATGCCGATATTGGGTTACGGAACTTGGCAGGTAAGTTTTAAAAAAAGGTTGTTTTTCAAAAGGCGAGAATTGGTTAAAATGATTTCCCTCAAGACAAAAACTGATGGTAAATGCCGCAGGGATTTCATAATTTAGATTTTTTTTTACAAGTAGAGTTTTTGTTGAAATTCGCATAAGAAAGCTTGTTCACTAAGTTTTTTTTTTATTATTAAATAGATTTCTAGAGCTACAGATCAATTACCACATTTGGTAAAGCAAAATGATTCTTCTCGATTGGGTGAAATAATTTTCCTGACAAGTACCTCTAAGCTATCCTTTTCCTGCAATAGTCAATGCATTTTGTACAATTTCCGGATCAAATGAGGCCCTTGAGGTCGTTTCGCCTTCCACTTCTGACAGTTTCCGACTTCTCATTTTCCTGCACCGTCCTTTTATTTGTTCTGGTTGATTTTCCGATAGAAAGAGGAACAGGAGGAAGAAGACAAATGCAAACTAGAGCAAGACCGTTTCTAGAACATTTTGCAATAACAAGCCGACTTAAATAAAAATAGAAAGTGGAAGACACGAAGACAGACGACGCAAAAAAGAACCGGACCGGCTAGCGGCTCCACAAAATTCTACAGGAACAAGAACAACGAAGACAAAGTCGCTAGATTGTTCTAGAATATTCTAAAAAAAGGTTAACGTGAAATACGAATGATCTAAAAAGAACTCAAATGCGAGATAGAAAGGCTGAGAAATGGAAAAGGACCGACAGAAAAAATTAAAGTCGAACTAGGAACGTTCCGTGAAGAATTCAAAAAGAAATATAGATAACTGAAATAAATAGAAAGAGAGTAGGCGATGACGCCAACTATACTCCTGGACAAAATTATCGCACCACTGCACATAAGCACCACCATAAGCAGTGGTGCGATAATTTTGTCCAGGAGTATATTAAAGTGACAGAATAGATACGTTAGTAAGCTCTTTTGTACGCATCCAACTTAAACCATAACCATTTGAAGACGAAACATCCTGATGGGCCATGTATAAACGAGAGTTTGAGGCGGCTGCTAGGCAAATGAATGGAATATGAACAGCAGAAAACAACAGCATTATTGGTACTGACATCACGGAGAAAGGCACTCGACGTTTTTCCAAAATATTCCTGAGGCAATCCAAAGTGATTATGCAGCTGTTGTAGACGCCTTAGAGAGTTATGGAAACAGATATCTTACTTAAGTGTATCAGAGCTAGAGCAAGAGCAAAGTACAAGGTCCAAATATTAAAAGTAAGCCTCGAAAGCCGTGGTTCACTGTCTGGGCCTCCTTAGGAGATTCACTAATAATCTTGTCCTCATACCTAACGGTAAAAACCATCGAGCGTTGTAAAAAACTATAGAATTATCTACCACAGGCTCATCAGGGCCAAGGAGTGGTATTATGCAGATAGACTCTCTTCCGCAAAAAACAAATCCAGAGAGACTTGTCAATAATAAATAAGCTCCGTTCTCATTCAATACTGAACTGGATCCCAATACTCTGAATGTGGTTTGCCTCTTCCATGACTGCTGGCTTGTCATCGAATGCGAATCCAATTCCATACCTTAGCAACGTTGGAATACCTAATTCTTACTTTTTTGTCTTTTTGATTTTAGTTAACATGTTTAACATTAATGCTTTATCAATAAATATTAGTTGTTTCTTTTGAGAAGATACCTACCCTACCTCTAAAAAAATTGTGGAAGAGTAGTCTAACTTATTTGCGAACAAGCACGTAACAATAAGTGCTTATTGCATCAGTCTCATAAGCAGTGCACTTAAGTAGTGAAAATTATTGCCCTAAAATTTGAGATAATTCCCCTTCGATTATTGAATCGAGTTGAGAACACAAGTTGAGATTTTTTTATCACAATAGTATATTGTGTATAGGTGGAAAAGTGACAAGATCAAAATAGAATTTTATTTATTGGATAAAATTGAGTTCTTATGTATTTTTTATTATTTATAAAAGGTATAATATAAAGAATACCAATTGATAATACTAATGCTAAAACTCCTCCTAATTTATTAGGGATAGATCGTAAAATAGCATATGCAAACAAGAAATATCATTCTGGTTGAATATGAATTGGAGTAACCAAAGGATTAGCTGGAGTAAAATTATCAGGATCCCCCAGTATATAAGGACGGCAACATCATTTTTAAAAATTCATAAAGATTGTATTTTTGAATAGTTCCGAAAAATTTGGCAAAAATGTCCTTATTCACATCTGTACCTTTGATGTGATGACCCCTTGTCGTCAAACAACAGCCAGAATCCTATCACTTGTGTCCTCTAGTGCATCAGGGTGGGTTTACCCCACTTGTCAATAGTTTAGGTTTAAATTGGGGATGAGTAGGTATTTTTTGCTGTGTCGTATACAGCGGAAAATTTGAAAACGCCAGAGAAATAGGAGTATATAGGATTGTACCGGAAAAAATGGATTGGATTTCTTCCATCTGTATCGGTCCTCCTTCCATCTTGTTCAGTCTTGAATACAACAAATCTGTGGGACCTCTCGTTCAGCTCACAGTTCAAGAACACATGATTGATATCACCCACTTCACCACATTCACAATACTCGCTGTCCTGCATGCCAAGTTTGTATTTGTGTTTAGGTATATGAGGCAACGTGTAAGTAGATCTAATTCTGCAAAAAACGCTAGTTTTTTGTCTGTCAGTAGCCCTTTTAATTTTTGCAAACCACGGTGTTCTTTGAGGCTTCTTCGTTAATTTGTAGTATTGGCTTGAATGATTTCTACCTTTATTGGTAAATTCCACAGCCCATCACCTCCATGTCTCTTCCTTAACTAGGTACCTACTCTGAATAAATCATCGTAGTGTATCGTTATGTTGATAGCATTATTTGCCTCTCGGTCCCTTCCAGCAAGCCTAGCTGCCTTTTCATTTCCTGTTATTCCTGTATATGACTATGCACCCACAGTATTTTGATTTCCTTTCCTCCATCGTGCATATCTAATATTTCATTCTCAACGTGATTGTATCGGTCCCTCTGTTGATGCCATCTCTGACAATTTTCATTAAAATAGCACTTTTGGAATCCGATATTAAAACAGCGTTTCCTGTGTCAATCTCTAACGTATTGAGAACTGTATATATGGCTAGCACCTCTGCTGAACAAATGTTGGTTAGATCCTGGCATTTCCCAATTATTGAGATTTTCCTTCTGTTGTTGTATATTCCAATTCCGTAATGTGTTGATATTGGCTCCAAAGATGCATCTGTATATATTTTTTCATGATCTGAGTATTCCTCCAACAACTCCTGTAATAAGAGTTAGCTATCTGGACTGAACTTTGGTATATTCGAATCCACCGCCTATTTTCCGTAGTTGAGTTGCCATATCCTCTTGGAAACATGGCAGATTATGCGTTCTTTCCAATATTCCTATGTGGGCCAACGCTTAATCCACCCTTCCACTACCGCCGGAGCCCTCTTGGTCCGCCAATAAGGAGGATCCTGATTGTAATAAGCATAGGAGTTGAGTATCACCCTATTGACCTCGACCCCTCTAATGGCTACTTTTCTGAGCATCAGCTTTGTACTAAGTAGGTTCCTTCGCTTTATCAATGGCATTTTTGCCGCTTCAGATAACAACGCCACTATGGGAGTGCGCTTCATGCAGGCAGTCACCACTCTCAAGACCTGTTACTGAATGCGATCCATTTTGCTAGAATTCATCTTGCTTATATGGTACATCGCTTAACAGCCATAATTAAAATGGGTTCTAACCAGCCCTTTATAAATGTTCAACAATATATTTGGGTCAGGGCCCCACCAGATTCTTGTAATTGCTCTCATTATGTTAATAATCCTTTTCTGCGCCTTGTTAATCACATATTCAATGTGTTCGTTCCACTTCAACTCCGTGTCCAATATGACACCCAAGTACTTCTAATTTTCAACCCACTCAATTTCTCTATTTAACACCCTTATATTTGTTATTGGTTTATTTCTGCTACCCTTGGAAAACAACATAGCTTTAGTTTGTCCATGTTATGGACCCTTAGCCATCCTGTCTTTCTTTTCAAAGCAACCTGCACTTTTCCTATACCTACTTTCTTCCACCTTCTTACCAGTTGCAAACAATACATTGGGTGGTATGAATAAAAACTGAGTATAAACTCGGAGTATATACTCGTGAGCATGAGTATGAAGTCTGAGCTTATACTCCATTTCGTAAAAATAAAAAAGATTTCGGTTTGATAAGTACATACTCCTAGTACATAGAGTAGATACTCAACATTTTATTCTGCTTGCCACCACTCTTTCGCATCTATATCCTATTCACAATCCGATGTCCATAGGTACGGGTAAATTTATTTATCACCTTTCCCTATCAAATAGCATTGAAAGGTGATAAATTTTACCTGTACCTGTGGACATCGAATTGTGGATGGATCAGGGTTGGAAAAAACCCGGGTTTTTTTGAAAAAGCCCAACCCGTCGGGTTTTTTTTGGGTTTTAATGGGTTTTTTGGGTTTTTTGGGTTTTTTTGGGTTTTTTCGGGCTTTGCGGGGGTTTTCGTTTTTTTCTTTAAATTTGATTTATAGTTTCTGCTCTGGAAAAAGTATTACAAAAATTATGTTTTTTGTCGCAAAAAATAAAATATCCTTACAAAATAATGTAAGCGTCTTGATATAAATAATTACACTTGGCATCAGTGCACTGCCAAGTCTAAGCAATGGGAATCTGACGAAAATGCAGATTCTGATTCTCCTAATAGTAATAACTACTAATAATAGGTACCTACTCATATTTCGTTTTTTTGCTTCATTAACAAAAAACTTGTTTATTTGTTTAATTCTCTATATAGGTAGGTACCTACCATATTTAGAAAAAATGTTTCTTTTTACAAACGTCACTAAAAGTGTCATTTTTAACGGATGCTGTCAGTGTCTAAAATGCCATTTTATGACACTGGTGTTAAAAGTGATCACTTTTAGCACTAGTGCTAAAAGTAACCACTTTTAGTGCGTTTGTAG